GGCTCTCCTGGAAGCCCTAGGGGAAGGTCTTCCGTCTTACTTAGTTCAGAATCTGGAAGCTGCTCAAAGCCTCTGGAACACGGTCTTTTTCCCACTTCACAGCCAAAAAAGGCTGCGTCTGTTCTTCTCCCTGCATAAGACATGTGAATCAACAAGACTGCAAAAGTTTCCATTTAAAAAATTCTGTTATGGTAGAAAGCATGCTAATCTCCCCCAAAATATTCCCCCTCGCTTTGAACATACCTCTCCCACAATTTCTGCAAAATTTTTATTTTGCTTTCTTTTGTGTGTGTGAGACTTGTTCATTTCTGACCGGGGGTCTCCCTAGGTCATTCAGCCTGGCCTTGAATGCTCTGTGTAGCAAAAACTGGTCTGAAACTCATAGTGCTGAAGATATAGGCATGTGCCGGCTATGAAGCAGCTCTGGAAGTCCTCTTCGATGGGTCTCTACATCACTGACATAACTGATATGATATCTCAGTTGATTAAAACCTTTCCCCTGTTATGGTCATTTTCACCTTAGGAAAGACCCCACGGTTGTCCCATGCCAGATCCAGTGAATACAATGGAGCAGGACACATTACTCATATAAGCCTGCCTTTTCCTTGGATGGCACCTGACAGCAGTCTTCACTGTATTTTTTTAGACCACTTACATGAAAGGGGGGACATCCAGAATCATTTCAGGAAGTGGCAAGAACATGGGATAAATGTTGGAAGTGCAAGGAAGAATTTTGAGAGCAGTAGCAACGTATCTTTGCTGGATAGCTTTTTAAAATTTAAACACCCAGTATATTTGAAACACTCCATCTATTTCATCATTTCTGCTGCCAACCTGCCCTTGTGACTGGCTCAACCAGAAAACTTCTCTATTTTTAACATCAGCTGATTAGAAAAATTCCCCTGTAAGCTTACATTCTCTTTGCCATGTAACAGTTAAAATTCAGGATTCAGAGATAAATACCTGAAAATATTTGGCAAGGCATGATTCTTCCTACTATACATATTTTCAACAGTTCCGCAGACTCTTTCTTAAATTGGAGATTGGCAGCCATGCCCTTTCAAATATGCCATAATTGCTACTAAACTACACATGTGGCCCTGCTTCAGAATAAAGCTATATGACTTAATTATTTAGCACATTCCTTCATAACGCAAAGTAGGAATATTTACCGCACCGCCTTAAATGACATTTTTGTTTACAAACTAAAAAATACTCCAACTTCCAGATTATGATGGCATAAAGGAAACTTAAAATTAGGAGAAATGCCTTAAATTCACTAAATTTAATATGAAAAATGGTACACGGAAGAGGTTCTGTTTTTATTACATTTTCAATATGAAAAGTATCTCTTACTTTCCTTTATCTTGTGATAATGACTTTTTTATAGGCTTTGAACTCATTTTGATTTTAAGCAAGGAATGCTGAAAAAGACACTTCATTAATAAAATTTTAAATTTTTAACTGTTTGTTGTACGACAGTGGGAGGTGAGTTGGTGCAGTCCTGCAACCCTATATCCGGATCTGTGACATACAGATGTTAACATCTTAGTAAGGGGGCTCATCATTTTGTGGCTCCACGTCTTCCAGGGTTTCCTTGCGGTAGCACACTGTTACAGACCTGACAGGTTGCAGCGAGGAATGACGCACGTAAGCGCGCACAGGTGCAGGCAAACGACTCAGAGCTACGAGGCATCGTCGTCCCGATTACTATTACTAACAACACAAGTTGGTCCGGCTGAACGGGACGTTCACTTTCAGCATTAGACCGCTCATTCCCTATTTTAAAACTTCGCTGGTGGCTCTGCAAAGTTTTTAAAAATGCGCAAAAATCAAACAAACTATCAAAAGTGGTGAAAATTTTCGTATAACTACATTTACCATCGTAACATAAAAAGGAGCAGCGGGTCAGACTGAAGAAGAATGGAATAAGATACCGGCTCTGGTTGTTAGAATTGATGCCACATCTACTTAAAAGCTCTGAGTTACATGAGAGAAAAATGGGGAAGTATAATTTGTCTTACAGAAGCAAAACTTCCACTGCGAACACGGAAATTAAAAATGTAGCTCCTGAAAAAGCAATTTGTGCTGTGTAATCTATCTCTGTAAATTAATTATTAGAATAGTGTCAAATAATATTCTAAGATTCATTTTTCTAGTTAACCATTCTGCGCACTTTTATACATATCTCTTAACAACTTTTCCCTATTTAGCTCAATTTCTTAACTAAATATTTAAAATATAGGGCTGGGGAGACAGCTCCAGGGCATAAGTACCTGCCTAGCAACCCCAAGGTCCTGAGTTCAATCCCCAGTGCCACCAAAATAAATAAATAAATAAATAAATAAATAAATAAATAAATAAATAAATAGATAAATAAATAAGATAAAACTAACCAGGTATAGTAGCTTCACTTGTTATCCCAGCACTCTAGGAGGCTGAGTCAGGAGAATTCCAAGTATGAGCCCAGCTTGAGCAACTTAGGGACTTAGCAATACTCTGTCTCTGAATCTTAAAATAGGCTGGAAATGTAGCTCAGTATGAAGGCCCTGCAATCTATGTCCAGGGCCACGTAATAATAAAAATAATAATAATAATAATAATAATAATAATAATAAAAACAACAACAAGAATCCAATTAACTTAATCCATAAATGATTTGTACTTTTAAAAACTCATAGATGCCAATAAAGTCAAATGAATTTCTATTGCAACAAAAGATTGACAGATTTCCTATTTGATAATCATGATCAAAATATCCTATAAAAATTATACCTTTAACATAGACATTCATTGTCAGTGAGAGCTGTAATATGTCTGTGAAAGCTTTTTCCTTTTCATCTTGTCATCATTCATTTACAATTTTTTAAACTATTGAAACATTTAACAAATACAAGTGAGCATCTACTCTAAATGAAGAAAACTAGTAAGTGTCAAGCTATAAGTGAAAAAACAAACAGAATGTGATGATGGGGAAAAAAAGGTACACATATAATTACAAGTGTGGTCATTAGCGGCAATGAGAAGTATAAAGTGTAGCAAATATCTTGCAGAACAATTCTTAGTCTCATTTGGGGATACAAGGAAGTTTCTTTGAAGAAATCATCTCATAAGGTCTCTTAAATAATGGGAAAGAATAATCCAGTAAGATGTAAAATGAACATTCAAGTTAAGAACCTGGACATATGCTGTCCGATATGAAAGAACAGTCTTTCATTTTGCTTTTTATTCATTTATTTGTTTTTGCTTGCTTGTCTTAGTCTTTTTGAGACAGGATCTTGTTATGTACTTCAGGCTGGCCTTGAGCTCACTTTGTTGCCCAGACTGGTCTTGAACTCAACAATTCTCTGGCCTCAGCCTCCTGAGTGCTAGAATTACAGGTTTTAGTCACCATGCCTGACTAGAAGAAAAAGTCTTTCTAAGGATCCAGGAGATCAGGAGATTAGCAGAGAACAAGACTAAATAGCTTAAACCAAGCAGAGAGTGTGGCCAGGTCACTGAGGAGCACCCAGGACACCTGAGAATTACAAGTATTATCCTAAGACACTGCAGAACCACTAAAAAACAATTCCTACAGAAGACATGCGGTTAAAGTCTTAAATATAACATGAAAATGAAAATCTAAGTGATTGAGTACAAAGAGTAGATTGCAGAAAACATAGAAATAGTTTCAAGAATAATCCAATATTTCAGATTTTAAAAATGAAAGATTTAAAACAGAATTGGGTCCTAGTAGACAGGGGAAGACAGAGGCCAGATGTGTTTCTATGATGGACTCTAAATGGACTGATGCGTTCACTGACACAGCACGATAAGAGTGAGAGAGGGTCTAAAGAAATGAGATCTCAGTTTCCAGTTGGAGTAACAGAGAAGTTTGGACCATTTTCTGACATAAAGGACACAGGTATAGGAGCATGTACTCAGGTGAAATAGGATTTAAGTTTTAAATTTTCCATTAGGGATATTAAAAAAACAAGTGCATTTAGCTCCTAGAGAATAAAAGTGACCTAGGTTGGAGCCATTGAAAAATAGACAGTAATCTAAGCCACAGGAGGTATAAAACAACCTTCGATAGCATAACCGAGAAGAAAGTAAGCTCTGACAGGGATCACATAAAAAATATAAGTAGAGGAATGTTTGAGAAAAAAACAAAGAGAAATTTGGACAATTCTGTGTCCCAAAGATTCAATATAAGAAATCAAGAAATGTTAATGTAAGAAGTACCATGAAAAGAATAAAACATTTACAGCCAAAAAAAATTTGTTAAGCTAAAAATATGGCACTTGAATTTAATGACAGAAAGCTCATAGGCAAACTTAATGAAAATAGTTTTAAGATGTAAATATAAGACTCTGCAATTATTTAATATCCTTTAGGGAGGAAGGGGTTCAATGAAGCATTTTTAGATGACTGGGTATAGAGGGAAAAAGAAAGTTAAGACTATGTCTTTTTTTTTTCTCCAAATGCCTTCAGGGCAGGTTTGGCTGGCTTGAGTTGTGGGAATTGAACCACCGCAACCTGAGCCTGACTGTTTTGTTGAAGCAGTCACTTAAAGAACTGAGCTAAGGGGCAGGCCTCCAAGACTGTCTTATGACAGGTTATTTGTTGATCAAGATGCCTAGACAGCTTAATAAGACACAGATATTCTCAGGCTAACATATTTCTGGATGATTGATTAAAAAAGAACTTACTGTTGTCATTAGCAAGTGGATATTCAGTAGAAAAGGAGGTTCAAAGTGGGATATTGACTTTGGATAGATTTATGAACTTCTTGTTATAGTCATCCTGGACTTACTCTTCTATTATATGAGTTTCCATGATTTCTTCCAAAGTCAGTGTGCTCCCTCATATTTGTAACATTATGAGGCTTTATTTAGTTTTATATACTCAAGAAATTATTTTATTTGCCAAAGGAAAACATATATATAATTTATTTCTTCAAAACTCCTTTATTGCCAATTAAATAATTTTTCATTTCTTTTTATGTCTTTTTTTTCTAGGAAAAGTCCTATCCTTTTATAATATCATCAAGGGGATATCTGGAACAAAGTCAATCCTCTCAGTTACATAAAATAAAGAATGGCATACAATTGGCAGGTAGATCCACATCCCAATGAACCACATGAAGAACAGTATGAACATGGAGAATTTCACTCTATAAATCAGTCCTTCTCACCAAACCAAGTTAGTCTGGGTTTTGATCAGCTAGTAAAAGAAATCAGTAATAGAAACCCACTCTATCAGGGTGAAATAGAAAAAAATAACTTTTTTATGCCCACTGTACTAAGCTGGGACCCAAAAAGGCATTTGCCAACTGAAACACACCAAATATCCTTGAATGAATTCCCTGCTAAAAGCCCAGAACTCTCTTGGACTCAAAGTGGGAAAAGTTCAGCTACTGGTTTTAAACCTTCTGTGCTACCAAAATCAGAAGTGATGAATAAACACAGTTCTTTGGGAAACTCCATAAGAAAACATCATGATGCTGATGGCCTTAGATTCAGTCTTGCAAATCTGTCAAGCACTAATTTGGATGAAATCAATCCACAAAGAGAATTGAAATCTAAAAATCATCACTACCATATAGGATTTGAAGAGAATGTTTCTCATGTATATTCATCCTCCTCAACTGACTTCATGCCAAAAGATGAGAATGAGAGAACTGCAAATACCAACACTGCAAATCCTTCTCTAATGTTCTTTGAAGATTCTGTTCTACCCAGAAAATGGGAAAGTCCATGGACAGAAACCACAGAGGTATGTATAATATGATTAATTCATATTTATATGTGAAGCCGGAAGAATCATTCATCCAATTGATTGTCAGTGAGGGTAACTACATTGAGAAATATGCTAAGATTATTTTCAAAAATTTTTCATTTATTTTCAAATTTCATATGATTGTACTAATGGTTGTTTCTGAGAAAAAAGAATAATTTCTGAGAAAAATTAAGTCTAGCTTCATCAGACTAAATAAAATGCTACAACACATATATTTTTTGGATAAAAATATCATTAATTGAGGTTGAGCTGATAATATCTTCTATTCTTACTGTGTTGAGCACCTATGCAAAAATACACAGACATATATGTATATATGTGCATGTCACACTGTAATGACATCTCATTATCATTAATTATCTCATTATTATTAATTATCATTAATCATATCATTATCATCTCATTACCATTATTGGTAGGAACAATATCCTTTGACCCAGAGACATTTTAATTGTATTATCAGCAGGCAACTTCACTTGGGTTCATTCTGAAAGGAAGAAAGAAAGAAAGAAAGAAAGAAAGAAAGAAAGAAAGAAAGAAAGAAAGAAAGAAAGACAAAAGGAAAGAAATTAAGCAATATTGTTCAAGTCATCCTAGTGATTTTATTAGTAGTTTTTCACTTTAGTAACCATTGAATTTCCAATATAATAGTTAAAGGTGCCTCTTCTTACACAGCATTTAAAAGCCAGAAGTAAATGATAGAAAAGAAGAAATGTCATTACAATTAAAATTTCAGAGAATGTCAGAAGGATTCAATAACTGTCTACCAATTCTTTGAAATATATTGTATGCTAGGCAAAATGGATGAGAAGAAGGCATGAGTATGTGAGTTCATACATGGCTTATGGATCAAATTAGGTTGTACATCCTGTAACTCAGTTGTGTCACAAATTTTCTGATGAAGGAGATTATGGGGCCACAAAGGAAAGTGATCAATGATGGAGAGTGTGCCTAAGGAGAGTCACATGGAGAGAAAACATTCTCTCAGGCTTTCACAGAGAGCAAATTGGTCAAGCAATGGCCGTGACTCATCCACATGACTGACACTGACAAAAGATTTACAAACTGTGGTACAGGGTTTCATGATAAATCCTGAGGAGATTTGATTGACCTTATCAGATGCAAAAGTTACATTTCTTGTTATATAGGTCTTGCTTTATCTTGGTCTTAACCATCCAGCAGAAAAGTACAAAAATGAAATATAAAAAGTAAAGTCATATTAATATGCTGAGCTGTAAAAGGCTCAAGTCAGCTACTTCTGACATTGCCAGTCCTATGGAAAACCCACTACTATTATGGACTACTGGACTATATTGGAATATCATGCATAATTCACACACCTACAATATTTAAATGACAATGGAATACCCTTCTCTGACAAAACTAAACAAAAAAGGGGATACAAATGAAGGACCATTTTGTATCTGTATATACAAAATAGTTAGGATAGTTATACAACTACTTTCTCTTAATTCAATGAATAGATAGATTTGTTCTAATAGTGTTTGTGGACAGGTTATCATATCTGCATTTGCACTATGAATAACCACTAAGAAGACAACAATATGCAATGTATTAATTATTGAAACTGTGCTAGTATTCGATTTTGAAACTGTCTCATTGCTATTTGTTTCTCAATAAAATTGTTTAAAAAATTAGGTTGTAAATAATGTTAACATCATAGAACAACAGCTGGGATGAGTGTCCAGGAAAAGAAACACCAAATCCTACCTAACATACTTGTAATGGAGTAGTAGTGATCTGAACAAAATGTCAAATCATAGGCACAACTCATTCTTAAGACGGTGTATTCAGTATTAAACTTCCCTACTGCTAAATAGGCACAATAGATGAAGCAGCAGAGCTGAGGCACTGAACAGGAGTTAATATAAAATGCTGATCATTGAGAAAAAAGTGAAAATTGTGCCGATCTTGCTTTGTGCCTGAGGGCAGTTTCCTGCTTCTCTACTACCTGGTGGAACTGGATTTGTGCCACTGAGCTGCTGCTTTACAGTGTTGACATTATTTACAAGCTAATTAGATCCATAAGCCATTTGTGAACTCACATAGTCATGCCTTCTTTGCATCCATTTTGCCTAGCATACAATATATTTCAAAGATCTGGCAGTGACACTGAGCTGCAATTAGTTGCAGGTTGTAGCTTGCAGGTCAGGAGAGGGAGCTACCTACTGAGTGGGAATCTGAAGTCTACAAAGAAGTTACTACGCATTCTTGGCAAGTCATGGGATGTGCTTGCAGGGCTGTGTAGATATTGCCAACCTTGGGTTGAGAATGTGATGGTAGTTGGTTTCACCAATGTACTAGTTATGCACAGAAGGTATGGCTAAACTAGAAAAGAGACTGAATGCAGAATACTTCTAGCATTCAAATGAAATTCCACAAATTCAAACCTTGGTAAAAGTAATTCTCCACAATGAATACTATACCAATGAAAATAGACGTGACTCAATAAAATATTTAAATAAGGATGACAAGACAAAGCAGATTTTAGCTCTTTGCCAAAGAAAAAACTCAACACTTTATTGTTTGAATACCATAACTCACAATACACCATCTACAGTATTCAATACATGACAACGGATGCACAGATATGTAAAGGAGAAGAGAATTTTGGCCAGCAATCAAGAAAATAACCCAGTTAATAGAAAGAATCTTTATGCTAAGCCAGGTTTTAGAATTAACAGATGAAGACATTCAAGTCATTACTAAGAGTATGCAACATAAAAGGTGCTCATAGTGTGTAGTAAATGAAATCTCAACAAGAAATTGCAAATAATGGAAAAATAAAAACATAACAATTCAGGTGCTGAAAAGAGTAACTCTAATCAAAAAGTCAACATGTGAGAAATGGCACGATGAAAGGGGTGAGCTTGAAAGCAAAAAAACCTAAACTACCCACGTTGAAGATAAAAATAGAGGAATCATATAAAAATGAGTATAGGGCCAGGGAGATAGCTCAGTAGAATAAATGCTGGCCTGGCAAGCGCAAGGTTCTGAGTTCAATCTCCAATACCAAAAAAAAAAAAAAAAAAAAAGTATAGATTCAGATTTGATGAGACAAGGGGTATGATATACGGGCAACTAAAATCAGGAAATTTAATTTGAAGAAATAATGGCCAGGAAATTCACCAAATTTGGTTGCGATTATCAGTACAAGGTTAATCACACTAAACATATACTTAAATATCTAAATATCAAAAGGAAGAAAAAGGTGGAAGACAAGGTGGGATAGATTTCAAATATCTGAACTATAATTTGAATGAAAGCAACCTCTCATCATAAACAATGGAAAAAAAAGAGATGGTGGAATTATATTTAAGTACAGCTAAGCTTGATATTTTTACAACTGGAAAGTCTTTGGAAGGAGTAGAAAAAAAAATCACTTGTTCAACATTGACCTTTTAACTCAAGACTACCACCAAAATACATAATTTCAGAATAGATCATCCTGGCTGGGGAGTTAGGTCAGAGGCATAAGCACCTGCCTGGCAAGTACAAGGTCCTGAGTTCAATCCCCAGGACATCCTCTGTGTTTGATTAATATTCTTTAGATGCCTTAAATTGCAAGTGAAGGAGGGCTTGTCTGTGGTTTAGTTAACATCCGGGTTACTTTTTAGAAGTATAATTATGATAATGGAATGGGAAGTGAAAAAACAGCCATCAGTAATTGCTACTTGAGGTAGTTTATATCTGTGCTTATCTTATGAAATTATGTGAAATTTTTTAGGAGGACTGAGAAGATAGCAAAAAATATTATAGGGAAAATATGGATGTGAAAAGCAGTAAATATTTTGCCCACTTTGCTAACAAGATGTTTACTGTTACATTTTTATTTGGCAGAAGCAACTTATATTTTTAATCATTGCCAAATAAGATACCCAATAAAATATTTGAATATGGCATTTGGGGTTTGTATGTGTGTGAAAATTGTCTTTAGTACTGTAAGTTACTGTTTAATTTGAATATATTATGTGAACTATCACCCTGTGACTTATACTGGAAAACTATTTCTTCTGTTTTAATGATCTAAATAAGGACTACTTTAGGAGACATAAAGGTTACTTTTATACCCTTTGACTATGTGTTTCAAAAATGAAAATGAAAATAAAGACGTACAAATAATGTTGAAAAAAATTAGTTGCTTACATTCCTACAAAGAAATTGTACCTAAATGAATATTTCAGGTACAAGGAAAGTGATACCTGGAGGGATCTAAGAAGGCCTTATTCACTATCACTCTAGTGAAGAGTGGTAGAAATTAGTAAGCATGCTGAAAATGTAAAAAGCTACCGTTAAATTTATAAAGTAATTAAGTGCAATCATAGCATATCACTGGGGATTTATTATATATGCAAATATATGACAATAGCAGAAAGCGTGAGAAGCGTACCCATTTTGCTGTTGTAAATCCTTGCATTTTAGATGCAATGCAACTCTGAATTCATTAAAATTGCATAGTATAATATCTAGACCTATTATAGATACTAAAAAACAGTGCAAAGGTAAAAAGCTAAAAATTCAGTAGAAGAATTAAATGAAATAGGCAAAATCCAAATAGATAAAATCAGGAGAAAGAGAATAAAATAGAAGAGACAAGTAGAACCATAGGTAAATATGGTAGTCTGAAATAAAACCACCTCCATAGAAACATAAAATAAATAACAAGATAAACATGTCCAAATCAGAAACAGAAAGTGACTAACTAGATAAAAATAAAACTCTTAAGCAAAAAAAAAATAGATTCAAAGCAAAAGAAACAAAAACATTTATCATTTAACTAGAAAAAGAAAGTTTGTGCAGTGATTAATATCAGGAAAAGTACAGCTCAAAATAGACTATTATTAGAGGAAAAAAGTCATTTTGCAATTTTGAAAGTGGTAATTAGGAAGACATAATAAATTTAAATCCATATGTATCTAATAGCTCAGCTTCAAAATAACAAAGCAAGGCTAGGAAGAAAGCTCAGCAGTGTAAGTGCCTGCCTGGCAAGAGCAAGGACTTGGACTCAATCCCCAGTACTGCATGCCTTCTCGGTTCAGGATCCCCCTGAGCATACAATGCTGGCCCCAAAACAAGGCATGAAGGGGCACCCTGGTAATTCCAGAGCTGGGGAGGCTGAAAATAGGAGGATCATTATGAGTCTTAGCTGCATAGCAAGACCCTGTACCATATCAATCAATCAATCTTTAAAAATATAATGACAAAGCAAAATTAGTTCTTTTAATACCAAACATCTATTTATCCTCTAACTGAATTATGCATAAATTCAAAAAAATGAGCTAAATGTCCACTATTATTTATTATAAAGGTTAATAATTTTCTTTGCAATACCCCAAAGCTAAAAATAATCCAAATGTCCATCAAGAGGAAAATGTCAACTGGGTGCAGAGGCATATGCCTATAATCTCGGTACTAGGGAGATGGAGGCAGGAGAAACACCTCCAGCTCCAGAACAGCCTGGGCTCCATCGTGAGTTCAAGGAGAGCCTGGACTACAGAGCAAGATCTTCTTTAAAAAAAAATAAAATCCAAACAAATTATGGAATAGTAACAAAAGAGAAGTTCATAACCCTCGATAAAAGTGATGAAATACTTGTATGTATGACAGTAACAGTAAACTTGGGAAATATATATTTAGGTGACAGAAGCCAAAATCAAAAAAGGAAATACACACAAGCTATGTTGATAAAATATGAATAAGCCACCAAATAGGCTGTGAATTGAACAGAAGGAGGTATTAGGGAACGTTCTAAAGTTTTATATTTCCATTTTGGTACTGGTATCACTTTAAGTGTTTCTCAAAATCAAATTTTAGATTTATGTCATATGCATTGTTCTATATATTATTATATTTAATTTAAAAAACCTTTAAAATAGTAAAAACATTGTAAAATTGTATTATTCTATTCTTTATAGTGGACCACATTAATGTAGTCATTTTTATTTTAAGCCAATAGGTTGTTCCATTGAAATTATTGAAGTACCCCGAGGCAGTAATCCAAGCCTGGTCTCCTTTTGTGGCAAAGTGAAAAAGTAAGTGCTGTAATTTCACTAAAGCTTGAATAAATTTGTCTATTTAGATACCACTCAAATGATTGATTTTAGATATAAAATGTCAAAGTCTTATAACTTGTGCAGAAAGCCAGAAATTTTAAAAATCGACAAATTAGTTTATTCATCAACTTCTGTTGTGGTTTGTATGTGTATAGTCAACTAGATAATTTTCTCTTGAAAATTTGATCAAAGCTAAATGCTTCAGAATTTCAGAACCAGCTTTGTTTTTTGCTAGTAATTTGGTTGGTAGTGAATTCACTTTTCATTTGTAATCACGAACATCTGACTTTTCTTGGTCAGTCCCAATTTAACACAGGATATTCTACCCAGGACATCCTATTTAGAATCATGTGAATGCCTCTTTCTTACTAAATCTTACCTTTAACAGTTTGTGAAAGTATCAAATTATGTGTGCATCCATTACAAAACAAATTTAATCACTAGAAGATTTTACCAAAAAATCATTGATATTTTTGCTAACCTAAACACTAATCTCTGGTACAAAAGTACAATAGACACTTTCTGAAATACTAATTTCTTTCTTTTTTCTTTTGTATTTAGGACAGGGTTTACAGGGTGCACAGGGTCTCGCTGTGTAGATAGGACTCACATTGATTCTCCCATTTACAGCCTCCCAAGAGCTGGGATTACAGGCCTGAGCCACCATGCCCAGTCTCAATTACTGTCTCAGCGTGCCCCGGGGTCAGGGCTGGCATGGCAGGCCCAGGGAGTAAATCCCAACCTCTGCTCCTGCTTGTGGGCACTTTAATCCACTGAGCTATTTGGCCAGCCCCTAAAATACTAATTTCTTAATACACTTGATTTCACATCTATACATAAATCTGCAACTTGATGAGTTGCTCTAATATTCGGAAGACAAACTACTCTATTTCTTGCTTTCCTCTGACATGTATTTCAGAAATATGATCTGTTTAGCTTTTTAGTTTCTCAACTCTCATCTGTGTTTCTCCTACCAACACAATGCAGTGATATGTCCTTTAAAATATTTATGTAGTTCATCCTTTCCAGTTGGAAACCTTTTTGTCTTTTAAGAAGTATCACACATCTATAATTAAAATATTCAGTATCTTTTCTTAAGGTATAAATATACTGATTGTTTTCAAAATAATTTCACAACATGCGTGGCAGCAACACTGTTCAAAATATTCTATTGCATAAAACATGCTATTTTAAAGTATATCTAAATCCAAATAAACCTCATTTGTTAGCTTTCTTTAGTCAATTCTTCCAAGTCAATCTTTTTGTTTTATAAACATTTATTTAGTGTGTGTGTGTGTGTGTGTGTGTGTGTGTGTGTGTGGCCAGCTCAGCCCACCAGGGAGCGAGGCTGGCTGGCAAGTGGTGCCAGGGGATCAAACCACGGTCCCCGTGCTTTGCCAAGCTTGTTCCAAGTAGGTGCTTTAGACCACTGAGCCATCTCACCAGCCCTTCCAAGTCAATCTTGCACAGCATTCTTAAAGATAATATATGCTGGTGGCTTAAACAAAAATAGTTTTTGTTTTTCAAGCCAATAAACCATTCTTGCATTTATTTTAAAACAAAATTTTGAAACTGTAAAATAAACAAATAAATATAAAATTTATACAATGCCATCTATTCTACTGCTAGATGTAAAAGTTTTCAAAATGTAATGCATTTACCTTTTTGTCCTCTTGGCTTTTATCTGTTTATGGTCATTATTCTGAACCCTAAAATATACATTTATTTCTAAGCCATAACTTACTGAATGATTATTTGGGATTAAAAATTGTGTAAATTATTCCATCACTAATTTAAAGGCAGTTTTTGTGTTTAACAACTACTTTGTGAGAGATATCAAGATTTAAAAGCAAGATTCCTGCTTCAAAAGACTTGTATTTATAATTCCAGGAATAAAGACAAGCACACACATACAAAAAAAAAAAAAAAAAAACACTCAAATCTATAAAAATATTTAATCTTTGCTATTTTTCTTAGGTTTAAAGTAGGAAATTTTATTTTATTATTTTTATTTATTAAATCTTTTTTTGTGTATGTGCAACTGGGCATTGAATTCAGATCCTTGTGCCTGCCAGGGAAGTGCTTGTTCTACTGAGCCATCTCCCCAGCCACCTACAGTAGAAAATTTTAAAGGATACTATAGATTCCTAAATTAGAATCATCAAAGTTTTCAATATCAACTCTTCTAGGAATAAACTGCTCACAGTAATAAAATAATGAATACTGCTAGAAATTTACCACTTTACTTCAACAATTTCTACCTGTTAAGAATGGGAAACAGTTTTCTTTTTTCAGTCTTTTTTTAAATTAAATGTTCATTTATTTATTGGGTAGAAGCTCAGACTGGTAGTGATCCTCTTGTCTCAGCTCCCCAGCTCTGGGATTACAGGTGTGCACCACTATGACCAGTTTCAGGACTGGCACAGCATGACCCAGGTTCCAGGGCCTGCATGGCATTTGGTACTGGGGATCGAACCTGGGTCCTTGCACTTGCCAAGGTGGTGCTTAGACCACCGAGCTAATTCCCCAACCTGAAAAATAGCCTTCTTACTGCTATGAGATGTCACTTCTTAGTAGAAACCCACTTATCCTAATTTTCCTCCCATAACTTTGTTTTCCAAAACATAACTTGATATTAAGTGAAATGTCATAGATGCCGTAGGGGCATGAAAATATTTTATGTGATGCTTTGTTAGTAGTTTGTGGTGTATTCCCAAAGTTTTGTTTGTTTGTTTGTTTTTGTTGTTGTTTTGTTTTTTTCAGACAGGGTTTCCCTACATGTTTGGGCCAGCCTGGACTCATTGTGTAGATGAGACTGGCCTCAAACTCTCAGTGATCTTCCCACCTCCGCCTCCCAACAAAACTCTTAAATGTACCTTTTCTCAATGATTTCTTTTCTAATAATCATGAACACTAAGACAAACAGCTAACAACAACTTTGACATCATGAGATGGAGCTGAACATTATATTCACTTGCACTTGCTTTCATTTTCAGTAAATTTTGTTGAAAAATATTCAATTATACAATGATTGACTGTATTCATGCACAATCATTTTACACAGAAATTATATGCACAATGGGATATAAAATTGAATTTGAAAGCCAAGTTTCACATGAAATTCTCTAAAACTTCTGAAGTGCCATAATAAAGCATATCTATATTCTTTAACTGAATGTATTTTTACAATATTTAAATAAGTACACTTCTGTATGTTATTAGCATCTATTTTATACCTCTGTGAAAGAACTCTCACTAGCTCAGTTTGGTTTCTTGCTGTGACATAATTCGAAGTTGCATCTTTCAAGAAATATGTCTCATTCTAATAAAAAATATAATGAAAGGTCATAGCAGATGGAAGAAATTCCTGATCTATATAAGATGTCTGCATGGGTTTAGGAAAAAATGAACCATGAATTTACATTTGAAAATTTAGTTCCCTAAAAGAGTAAAATCTGAAATCATGCATGCATTGAATAGTATCTTGTCATACAGTGACTACTAAATCATAAAGCATCTCTACCTTTAACCAAAACTGCCATCTACACTTTTGTGGTAGATGTAACACGGAAGGGTAGTCTACAGCTCTGTCCTGAGCAGTGGTTCTCAAACTACAATGTCAGAACAACAGTAGCAGCAGCTTACTTGAGCAATTGTGACAAAAACACAAGTTTGGGAACCTTCCACAGATATACTCCATCTGAAATATGGGGATTGGACCCAGAAGAAAAGGTGACGCTGATGTACTTTTGGGCCACTGGTCAAGCTGCTCATAGATAGGATGTTCCATGGACTCTACAGAGTGTAGTATTCCAGCAACTTCAGGGCTGGCGCTACTTCAGTACAAGTAGTGTAAGGTGGATGCCAAGGATGCAAAGGATCAATATAGAAAGTATCATTTTTGAGTCAGGAAGAATTTAAATGTCAACATAATTAATGCTGGAAGAACTCAAACTTCATTTTTTTATCATCAAAAGCATTTTAAATATCTACTTGTCAATATTCTATACATTGGAATAAAATATAAATCAAGCTGTGGTGACAGAAAATGATAATTCCGATGCTTTGCTTTTGCTTATCATTCTGCAAATCTTTTGTAGAAACTTTTGAAGTGGATATTAATTCTCCCTTTTGCACAAAGAAGCTAGTCAAATAATTTGTCTCTGGTCATAACGTTACTGAGTGGCAGCATAAGGATTCACACTCGAGGATCCTGTCACAGGGACAAAGTCATTCTTCAGATTGTACTCGACTTACATGCTTAGCCATTTGTATAAAAATACAAAAATTTAAGAATACAGAGAACGAAAACTAGTGTTTGTAACTCTACCCCACATGAGAGAACTTATTTCTAAATCAAAAGGAGTGGCTTGCAGAGAAGAATCTGCCTGAGAGAAATCTGAAATGAGAGATTCAGGCAACAGAAGAAAGGAGATGAAGCAAGTAATAATGCTCAGAGTAAACTGTGTTTTATTGAGGCAAGAAGATAGACTGGGCCTAAAACTGGCTGGGAAAAGAGGTTTCTGGGCAGAACTGGTCAGTCCCCAAGAACTATACACTAACTTCTCTCGTGAGAACTAGGGTGGATTTCTGATAAGATGACCCAGATATGAGGCCAGCATGGGAGATATGCAATAGGAAAATAATCTTAACTCTCATTGTGGTAACTTCATGGAGCCCCCCGCACACACACACACTGTAGGATATATTTTTTGTCTCCATTTTCCAACCATTACCTGGCCAAAACTCACTGCAGAGACTGTTTTTTCATCTTTCCATCAATTTAAAATTTTACCACCATTTATGTTTGTTTCACTCAATTGTTTGTTCTGGACAGAAAGAAACTAAAAATCACCTCTAAAAGGAGATTGCAGCTCCCCAGAGGGTGATAGCATTATGCTTGTGAAAGTGAGCTCTTAATTGCTTCAGAATGAGGTACTTCGGGGAAAGTCTCAAGAACAGCCCCTTACAATTTGTTTTTGGTCTAAATGTAATCTCTACTAATCTGGCCTAAATAAATGGGCTGTACTTCAAATCAATGATTAATTGCTTTCACGTTTTCAATCTTCTGAAACTAAACACTGCAGAATGCTCTTACACTTATGCTGTAGATGATATTTTTCAAATTGAATTACGTACCTCTTGTCCTAAGTGTTTTCTCCCATGTACTTTTCAGAATAAGAGAAACATATCATGCAGCTGATGCTAACTTCAATTCTGGAAAGATCTGGAGCCCTATTACTGCGTTTCCATTTCAGCTATTTTCTAAGAGCAAGTTCAACCTCAAAATTTTTACTGATAATTCAGCACAACCACTTCATCTTACACCATATGGTAAGCAACTTTAAATAAATATAAAAATCTTTATGAAGCTGGTGTTGCTACATAACCTTGAAATAAGAGGGAACTCATTTGAAGAGATACTCTTCTCCATTAATTTTTTTTGAAGTGATCATAAACATTTATTATCTTGGTATATCATGCTGTTCTTGTCCCTCTTCACTCATATTTATGTGGCTTTCTGTCTGGACCCGCTTTTCCTGCAGTCTGGCTAAAATTCTGCATCAAAATAAAATAGAAGCAAAATAATTGGGAACCATTGCTAGCCATCTAGGGTTAGCTAGGGGGAGCAGTTGTCTTTAATAACTCTTTCCACATAGCTAACCACAAAATTATATTCCTGCCACCAATTCTTTAGAGTAAGTGTAGCAAGTTTTCTACATGTTTTTTAAAAAGAAATTTCAAAATGATTCTAGATAAAGATGAAGCATAAGTGATAATGATTATTCCTATTCATTAGAAATAACTATTTCATCCAAATATGAATACATTATCATACAGAATAGACATTGTCACACAAATCTCTATTGTCATAGTAAGGATTCCATCAGCTGTGTGCAGCTCAACCCTGTCAGAATGAGCAGATCTATTGGAGAAGAGTCTCTAGGGATGGATCTCAGAAACTTACATTTTAT